AGGGGATTAGGACTGCTGTGCACAGAGCTGCTGTGGTCTCCCCCCCTCCCCTTCTCTCTCACCATAGCAGTTCCATGCTGGCCCTGCGGGGCTCCTCCCTTTCTCTCTCAAGGCAGAGTGCACCTTTCCTCCCCCACCAATTGCAGCAGGAGAGCTGACAGAATTGCCCTGGGCACAGTGGGGGGACAAAGTGGGGCAAACTGTCAGCCTTTGATGCAGATAGAAAAGCGTTTTGAATTCTGATTTGAACTTATGTTGGGATGCTTGGAGATGAAAGGATTTTAAGTCAGACAGTAACAAGAAAAGTAATAGAAATGTAGCCGTGTTAGTCTGGTGTAGCTGAAACAAAATACAGGACTATGTAGCACTTTACAGACTAACAAGATGGTTTATTAGATGATGAAAGTGGAAGTGGGTCTGGCCCACGAAAGCTCATCATCTAATAAACCATCTTGTTAGTCTTTAAAGTGCTACATAGTCCTGTTTTTTGTTTTAACAAGAAAAAAGGTATTCAAAAGATAACACAAAGAGGAGCTGACATCATGCTTCAAAATGGGATTTCTAGTCATTAACATTCCTCACAATTCTCCACACAGCTATTCTTGACAGTGCAGGATGCTGAGTTGTGGTTAGCGACCCACAGTTTTAAAGCAGAGACAGTTAAGTAAGTCTAAATACATGAAGCACACTGTATTTTAGTATACTAAATATGTTAAAAAGCTTCAGAGGCATAGCCAAGTTAGTCTGTAACTATAAAAACTTAAGAAAACAATGAATAGTCTAGTAGCACCTTAAACACTAACACAACATGTAGTTTTGTTAATCTTTAAGGTGCTACTAGACTATTCGTTGTTTTTTAAGTTTTTCTAAATATGTTAAGCAATACTCAGGAACGCCCCTGTATTAACTGAATGTGCACAATGTTTTAGCAATGTTCAAAAACTCCCTGTCCACACAGCTTACAATTTAAAGGTCCAATACTCCCAGTATGCAGGAATAACCACAGTATGGGAGTGAAAACTAGAGTTTTCTTCTGATTCTTTCTCCAAAAAAGTTTGCCCCTTTGCAAATGGGATGGAGCCTTCATGCCTTAAACCTGCAGCCCTTTGCAATCACAGTGGGTCTTGGCAGATCTATGTAGTGGTCAAGAGCATCTGAACTGCTGCTTGCCTTTGTAAGAGCTGTGCTGACATAGGTTCTTAGGCCTCAAAGTCTTCCTTATTGAGGGCAACATTCTGCAGCATGGAGGAGGAAGTGTTAATCATTGCGGACTCCATTGCTGTAACTCATGTGGCTGTGCCACTGAGATTTTGAGGGGGGACACGAGACAATCCAGTGAAGACCAGGTTGGTGCCCCAAGCTCTTCACATTCCACAGAGACTATGACAGGGTTATAAAAGAGATGAGAGGGGCTTTTAAGCCAGTTCCTCCACCCCAGCATCAGCTCCTGCCTGCTGCCCCCCTTGCTGCCTCTGTGGGAGGCAGCAAAGGGCAGTTGGTAGGCAGGCAGCTCTATGGAGCCAGCACATGAGCAGAGCCAGCTCAAAAACTGTCTCCCCACATGTATCAGCTCCCATCTCCCCACCCCCACCCTGTGCTGCTGACCCTCTTATACAGAGGCAGCAGCACCAGGGGAAAGTGGCTTGCGTGAGTCCATATGCATGGGGAGCTAGCTTGAAAGCTGTGTAATACACTAATTGGTTCCTGTCTGTACTGGCTTCTGCCTGCCCCCCTCACTCTCTCTGCTGTGCCTGTCTATCAGAGGCAACAATGTAGAGATGGGGAGGAGGGGGCAGGCGGCTCCATGGATCCTGTGCTTGTGGGGAGCTGGCTTAAAAGGTGGCTCCCCAGGGGGGCTGCCTCTTCCCTCCCCCCTCCTTGCTGCCTCTTATACAGAGGCAGCAAGGAGGGGGGGAGAGAGAGTATGTATTGTTGATAAGATTAACCAATAAGCTTGGGCTTATCGGATAATCATGTAGTCAACTACATGTTGACATCCCAATACCCAGCACTGAAGAAAAATGTTTTCATTCCTTCCCATATTAAACATTTGCACTAACATTTAAACAAAAAAAATTAAACACAGAGCTATTTTACAACATTAAGGACACAACAATCCAAAAGAGAGTCATTCCTAATTGAAGTTGCTATTCCTTCTTTAACTCCCCATGTCCTTTTATGCCTGATGGCTATGACTGGCTGAAAACTGTGCAATGTGCATGCACTCTCTCACTCTAACAACCTCCCAGCTGTGAAGAGATTTCCTTATAAACCTGTCCTTTATGTGAACTCCAGACTAAGTGCGAAATGTGAAGAAAAATAAAACAGATCCCACGTTTATCTTGTTTCCTCAAGATAGTGCATTCATTTTAATTGAAAAGGGAAAGTGATGTTATAAATGGGTTTTGTTCACATTTTCACCTGGATTACAGACTTTTATTTGTGGTTGAGCTTCTTGCTTACATACATTTTGAGAACAAATCATTTGAGAAAACAATATTTCTATTATCTTCTCAATAGGTTAATGATACTAAAGTCGGACAGGATAACCAATCAAACTGTATATGCAAATGACTACATATGCTGATCCTGGGCTCCACATGGCGCTGCCCGTTTGAAACACCATGACGGCATTTCAAAGTGGCAGGGTCACAAGAAGACCCGGGCTCCATGTGGAGCTGCTGCTTTGAAGTACCCCCCCACTCCCTTGCTGCCTCTATCTGAGAGAGGCAACAAGGGGGAGGAGGAGGAGCGACTAGTTGACTATCCGATAAGCATTTGCTTATCGGATAGTCAACTAGTCCTTAACATCCCAAGTGGAAACAGTGCTGGGGGGAACTGGCTTTTATGCCAGCTCCTCCCAACACCAACTCCTGCTGCCTCCCTTGCTGCCTCTCATATAGAGACAGCGGAGGGTAGAGGGGGGAGAATGCGAGTAGTCAACTCAACTACCTGATAAGCTTAAGCTTATTGGGTAGTCAACTAATCGACTACTCTCTGAGGGTATGTCTACACTACCCCGCTAGTTCGAACTAGCAGGGTAATGTAGGCATACCGCACTTGCAAATGAAGCCCGGGATTTGAATTTCCCGGGCTTCATTTGCATAAACCGGGCGCCATGAGGAGTAACGGTAGTTTGAACTAGGAAGCCTAGTTCGAACTACCTAGTTCGTGCCCCGTGTAGCCGCGCGGAATGGGGTTCGAACCAGCGGGGTTTTAAAATTTTAAACCCCGGCTAGTTCGAACCCCGTGCCGCGCGGCTACACGCGGCACGGAGTAGCTAGTTCGGATTAGGCTTCCTAATCCAAGCTGTACTCCTCATTCCACGAGGAGTACAGCTAGTTCGGATTAGAAGTCTAATCCGAACTAGCTACTCTGTGCCGCGTGTAGCCGCGCGGCACGGGGTTCGAGCTAGCCGGGATTTAAAAATGGCGGCGCCCGGCTTATGCAAATGAAGCCCGGGAAATTCAAATCCCGGGCTTCATTTGCAAGTGCGGTATGCCTACATTACCCTCCTAGTTCGAATTAGGAGGGTAGTGTAGACATACCCTTACATCCCTATAACTCTCACACTTACACGCAGACACCCCTCTGACCCTGCTGCTGCCTCAGGGGGAAGGGAACAAAGGGACAGGTTGCTCTATGGAAGCCGGTGCCCGCAAGAAGCTGGCTTTTAAGTGGAACTGTGCCAAACAAAGTGGAATTCTTTGAGTGGAATACCTCTCAGAAGAGTGCAACTCTCTCCCTATTATACTACAGGTTGAACCTCTCTACTCTGGCACTCTTTTGTCAGCAACATCCATGGTCCAGCATAATTTTAGTTAGCCAGATGTCCACTTATCATGGGTGTGGCCAAGTTTCCCCAGTGTTCTGCGCTCTTATTTAGCTCTAACTTACCCCTAAATGTCTTCTACGATCCCAGTACTGAGTGGGGAAAGTGCCACTTCTATAAAGAAAAGAGCTTCTAAGTATCCACTTCAATTCAAAGATTAGTTTGGGCAAAAATATGCTTATTTGTGAAGTGGAAAGAGTTGGTAATGCTGCTAAACAACATTGGCTTCCCATGGTTCTGCAAATTCTATGGTTCAGCACTGACCAGGTCCTGAGGGTGCTGGACTAAAGAGGTTCAACTTGTACAACTTACTTGCTAAAATGACCATTAGTACTTCCAGATATATAATTACCAGTCAGGGTAAAGGGACATGCAGTATGAACCTACGTATTCACAAGAATCTCTCCTCTCTAATTTTGAAAATATAAGTCTCATCAGACTATATATATTGCAATGCATACAGAGTACTGACTATTTCAGTGATCATTCAGATTTACTTCCCTCTCATCAAAGATCAAGATGGATGGCCAAACATAACATAAGGATAAAATCTGCTTATTAGACAGATTTCTCTAGAACTAGCGAAGTAGTATGTTATAGTGAACACGCAAGTGAAAAAGTATAAATCAATCACACAGCTTATTTAGAACAATGGAAGTTGAAAGAAATACGAGGAGTAACGGTAGTTCGAACTAGGAAGCCTAGTTTGAACTACCTAGTTCGTGCCGCGTGTAGCCGCGAGGCACGGGGTTCGAACCAGCCAGGATTTTAAAATGGCGGCGCCCGGCTTATGCAAATGAAGCCCGGGAAATTCAAATCCCGGGCTTCATTTGCAATTGCGGTATGCCTACATTACCCTCCTATTTTGAAATAGGGTATGTCTACACTACCCTCCTAACTTAAGGCATAACCGGGGTACATATTAATTGCTCAATTGCACAAAATCAGCATGCTTGATCAGCGCGAAAGCCACAGGAGAGGAAGCAGAGTAACCATACTAGCACCAACAATAACAAGATGTCTCACAAGTTAAGAACAGATATGTACTTTAAATCACAGAACTCCAAGACAATGAGTGGGAAAGTACCATTCCTGTAAAGAAAAGGATTTTGTTCCTGTAAAATATCCACTTTGATTCAAAGATTAGGTTGGGCAAAAAGATGCTTACTTGTAAAGGTAATACTCAGCTTGATCTAACTCTTCTCGTGAAGAAATGTTGTCAATAAACTGATTTAAAAATAAAAAGAAATATTTTAGTACACAGAAATCATAATGCATATTAGAACATTAAGACATTCATTTTGGTTCACATTTATTTGTCTAACCACACCAAAAATCTTAACTTTGTTAAACAGTGATAGAAATGTAGCCGTATTAGTCTGGTGTAGCTGAAACAAAATACAGGACTATGTAGCACTTTAAAGACTAACAAGATGGTTTATTAGATGATGAGCTTTTGTGGGCCAGACCCACGAAAGCTCATCATCTAATAAACCATCTTGTTAGTCTTTAAAGTGCTACATAGTCCTGTATTTTGTTTTAATTTTGTTAAATAACTGACTTCATTTTTACAATGTTTTCTCAAATGAAAACAAGCAAAAAAACATCGAGAACATGCTGTATAATTTGAAGAATCACCAATTGGGCTGTATGAGATCCAGAGACATAAAAACTAAGGATGGTGTGGTGGTTAGGGCTTGGACCAGGAATTAAGAGATTTGAATTCCATTCCTAGCTCCATCCTCTGACTTGCGTCAAATCCTTTAACCTCTCTGTGCTTCCATTACCTAGCTTAAAAATCATCCTTTTCTTCCTGTTTTGTCTTGTCTATTTATATTGTAAGATCTTCAGCACAGGTGTTATCTCTTGCTATGTGTATATACAGTGCCAAAACAACAAGATCCCAGCTAGTCTCTAGGCATGTACAGTAAACTTCCGATAATCCGATACCTTTAGGACCCAGGGGGTGCCAGATTATCAGATTTGCCAGGCTATCGGAAGGGGGGGCTATAAGGGGTCTGGGGTGGGAAGGGAGGCTACCCCAGACCCCTCATAGCCC